CAAAATTTATGTAAGACATATTTCTATTACCTAAAAGATCAAACCTTCAAGGGGGGTTCCGTGGAGTCCTTCGACCCCCCCCCCTCCCCCCTGGATCCGCCACTGACCCGCAAAGTCGTTTTTCCATACGGTCACACTGTTTAAAGGTGATACATTCATTCTCTCTCGCACACTCACTCTAATAATAAAAAATCATCAAAAAGAAGCAAAATTATACTTTTTTCCCATAATCCAAAATCCAAAAAATACATTTATTAATAATGAGAGGAATTTGGAAAAAAGCACGGAAAAAACGCAAAATAAACGAAAGTAAGAAGAAAAACCAATTTTTTGACACTTAACTTGTGACACTTACAACACACAATCTACGTGCACTGCGGCATTAATATCAACCAAAGCAAGAAGACAAACTTCTTGACCACAAGAACAATGCTAAGACCACAACACAATATCTTAACCCGTTTGGACCAAGACAGTATTACAGTTATACGTCAATCGACTGGTATCTTTATTCTTCTAATGACACGCTTTATATTTGTGGTAACACGACCAAAAAAAAGTTTGCAGTCAATTTGTCATATATTTATTAGTAGAATTGTAAAGTTTCATGGGGATTGTCATGTCCTGATAAAAATTTTGAATTTTTGAATCCTACAAGTTAGAAAGAAGTGTATTCTGAGCTGCAAATAGTCACTGCTAAACTCCGCTAATTTCTTAGTAAAATTTCATAATTTAAAAATTAAGCAATCATTTTTTCGATAGTTTACGTGCGATCTTCACTAAATTAAGTCATATGCGTATGAAAACGTTCAATATCAAATTCTTTTTCATATCAAATATTTCAGTTTTTCTACAGTGTGACGACACATGAAAAACCTCACTTAGAGTGCAACCACGTGACCGAAAATTAATCGAAGTTAATTTGTACTACACAGTCTGCTGTAAGCCATGATATTTTGCAAGATTCCGTTTATGCTTTCAAACCCTCTAAAATGAAGCATTGACGCTTCAAATAAAACCTAGTGATCAAAATAAATTAGTTTAGTCTTATTTCTAAACGATTGGCTCAAGGGATGATGTACGCAGTATGTATTTTTAAATGTGACAACAACAAAAAACGAGTAATCACGGTTCGAGTGTCCTCACTTTAATCTAAACTAAATTAATCTTAGGAACAGAAAATGATGAATAATTGATAATATTTTGATTGATTCTAAGTTGTTTTAGACATCATTTCATTAGTTACAGCCACAGTGCAAGTTTATTATCACATCTCAGATATAGCGCCTTTTGGCTACGAACTATTCCAGCTATACTACCAGCGCATAATATCGAAGAACATCATCATTCAACAATTGGCAAGCATCTCAAGCGAATGGACACGGAATTGTTTAGTGAACATTTTACCTTCTTAAAGAAATCAAAAAAAAAGTTGGACTGTCTTATTCATGAGATGTTCAAGATCAGACTTAGTGCGAGTGACATGTTTTTGATTAACTTTAAAAACTACTCCAATGAAAACTCATTCATAAACATAATTCTTATAATTTTGATAATGATGTCAGAGACATCGAAACGCTAGTCTTTACTGTTAAAGGTCTACAAAAAGTTACACTATAGGACAATGAAAAAAGGTTTTAGCTGCAGCCTGCTATAATGACTTAAATCATGAACCATCAACAATGTGGCTCTTACTTATCGCGTTAGTTCGTGAACTCGCTCAGGATTTTATAACGTGGGTGTTCAAAAACCCATAGTTATTTCAACAAATTATTTTGGCATCGCAGTTGAATGATGAGGTATTTTGCGGCGACCCAGCTGTAATATGGTGCCTTCTCTTGTCTTTGATCAACACCCACGTTCACCATTGTACAAGGACATCACATCTAAGTGCTATTTAATGTTATCTTTATAATCAGTTCTTTTGATATCAAAGGATGGTTTTGTTCAAGATGATCCATCAGTCTCTTTTATTCCGCACTTTGTTATTTTTCTGACCAAGCCAAGAGGTAATCACAATTTTACCTTAAAATGTGTTAATATATTTTTGGCTTTTTTTATTGTTCTTATTCTTCGATTGTACGTTACGTCATCGCGGCCATGTTGGTGCCATTTAACAAAAGATTTCTCACTAGCATCCACTGTTAACGGCACCACAATGGCCGCCATGCTTTTGTCTTTTGACTCTCTTGGGAATGCTTGCAACCCATCAATTCACCATTTTCCATACATCGGTTCACTGGTCAAACACAAAGCATTCAGTTGAGGTTGCAAGGTTCAAATTTAAATAACCCTTTGAAAGTACCTTGGCGCCTCGCTTGAGCGCTTTGTGCTTGACCAGTGAATCGATGTCTGGAAAATTGTGAATTTTAGTTCTTATTCAAATTGCCTAAACCTTTTTTTTGTTGTTGTTTTGTTGTTGTTTTTTTGTTTGTTTTTTTGTTTTTGTTGTTGTTGTTGTTGTGTTTTTTTGTTTTGTTTTTGTGTTTTTGTTTTTGTTTTTTGTTGTTTTTTTGCGATTCATGTTTCGAGCCAGTTTTTTATTTATTTATTTCTTATTTTTTTAATCGTAATATCGTCGTTTTAGACTGTCCCATTCAAAACATTTTCTTGGATGCAAGGCTATAAGCGAGAAAGGACGTGCACTGTGTCACTTTTCTATCATTTTATAATCTAAAACTTCTCCTTCTTACTAATATCGAGGTACTCTTTTCATACATGGGATTCTCCTTGATACAAGTACTCGATATAGGAGAGGGGGGGGGGGGATGCTCTAAGGACACCCACCGCTTAATAAGGACACCTCGTTATTAAGGACACGTTTCAAAGTCCCAACGAAAGCTCATACATTTTCTGTTAAATTAACCCGCTTTATAAGGACATCCGTTAATAAATACAAAGGACACATTTCTAGGACCTGAATGACAGTTTCCGTTTATAAACAACCCCGCATTAAGGACACTTGAAATTTGAAGACGTCTTTACAGCATTTGTTTGTTGATATAATGAGCATAAAACGCATTACATTGTCAGTTTTTGCATATCAACGGACCACACACTGATTACAACAAGAGATTACAACAAAAGATTAAATTTAATTTTAATTTTTWAAAAAGTCACATTGATCACCTTTATACATAAAAGAAAGACAAAACACGAAACTCTATTTATCATATGACCCGTACGGCCCTGCTCGAGCGCTCTAATAAAACCATTGGAAAAAGTCACATGATGAGGGCCGTACGGCTTTGGGCGAGCAGGGCCGTACGAATCCGTACGGCCCTGCTCGAATCCGCGCGCTTTCTCTTTTTTAGCTTTTATTTACTATTTCTTTCTTTCTTTTATTTTTTATTGATTTTTTCGTGACGGTCATATGATAAAATGCTTATTGACTGAGTTAGGTCGGGCCGTACGGGAAAATATTTAGCTCTCGGTCATTTGTACGGACCTCGCTGCGCTCGGTCCGTACGGCATCACCTCGAGCCAAATATTTTCCCGTACGGCCCTCCCACTCAGTCAATAAGTACATAATATCCTCTTTACACATAAAAGTGACTGCCTACTTTTGAACGTTCGATTTTAGCCCACGATGTGCGCGCGCCTGCTCAAAAACCTCTGAAAAATCTACAAGATCTTATTGAAGAACCATACACGTTTTGAGCTTCAACAGGGCAAAACGCTCAAATTTTGCACGGGACTCTATATTTTAATAGCTCATTMARAAAAAAAAAAAAAAAAACTCCAAAAAGGTTATATCAACAATTTAGAAAAAGTTTATATTTCTAACACATGAAAAAATAAATTTTTGTAGGGATTTTTGTTCGACTTTATCAGAGATTTTTTAAGAGCACCGAAACTAGAAAATATGACAAATCAATGTATCTCTTTGTCTTTTTGTCGAAAATGTCCATGTATTATCGTAGAATGATTGACTAGCCTTCATTCGTGCAATCATATAGTCTGCAAATAACTATTATCTTATGAATCTTATTTTTTTCTAATCACTTACGGTGGCGCAAGTTTTGCTCCAAAAGCTTGTGCGTAGGCTTCCATTAAATGCTGATTATCTCGAAAACGAGCTCGGGACACCCAATTTTTCTTTCCAGATTTGGAATCAGCATTAAATTTCAATTAGGAAAATCGAAGTTTTAAAAACATTTTAAATTGTTTTCCAAAAATAGGCAGTCACCTTAATAGGATTTTTAATTGAATTTTTTGCTATTTACTCCTATATTCTACATTATGAGCTGAAACTTTGCCACTTACTGATATCGGGTTGTCTTTTTATTTTTTGGGTTCGTTTTTGCACGATTGCTTGGTTCATGAGGCTAGAATCACGTGACCTTTATGTTGGCATATTATTAACCAAATCTTTTGTACACGTTATTCTTTTCTTTTTTTTTTTCTTTTTTTTTTCACAACTACCTAGTTTTGCTCTTTTTAAGCCTAGATTTTGATATTGAATTAGAGTGACGTCATTAAACGCGTAGAATAGATATTGGTCTAATACACTTTAATAGACTTAAATTCCATTGTTCTCTTTTGTGCCTATTAGACTATCACACGTTGACTATTAATTTCTATTTCACGGGCTAAATGCCTTCACTCTATGTAAGGAAAGCACTATACGTATTATATTAGCTGGCATAGCTGGTAAACACCAATCAGTATTACTCCATTTTCGATTCTCTGTGGCACAGGCCGCCTCGATTGCGTATAAATTTATTTTGAATATTCATGCATTGCAGTGAAGGAACGTGGAATATCAGTGTTTATTATTGTTGAAGTTGTGCATTCTTTACTTCACTGTTTGTATTAGTGGATATTTAGATACTGATTAGAGGCTGACACTGAATAATTGAGTCTGTAACAAGGAGCACAGCTGTATTTGGCTAATTCGATAAGGGTCTATATTACCATTATAAGATCATAATCACTCACTATCGATGGAACGATTTTATTGTCACAATCACTCGTTCTTTTGTCTTCCATCAGTCGTTCTGCATAAATCACCAAGCACTTTATTCATTTCGATTGATCGTTAAGAATAACAAAGATAGGAATGATTTCCCTGGAGAATATTATAAACTCTTTGAAGCGCTGCAGCAAAAGTTTCACAAAACTTCTTTTCTTGGTTTGGAGTCAAAAATATCGCTTTTTAGGCCCACAAAATTAACATTAATATTGATTCAAAACCAGAACTTTTGGTAGTATGGCTTTTATAACAGTTCGTTTTGGAGGTAGGGACTGTTTTCTGTTCATCATGAGTTCTGTGATTTACAAGTCAGATTCAGTTTGGATATTTGTTTATTATGAAGTAAATTGCGTTGCTAGAACTGTTCCTACTGTTAACCTGAAATCTATTTCTGGACGAATTTAGATAATGAGGAAGAGCTTTTTAACCCTAATTGTGTCACACTCAACCTCATGGATAATATTCGAAGAAGGTGCCGTTGTCAGCGAGGAGGTAAGAAAATACTTTGGTGCTGAACACTACAGTCATGCGACTGTGCTAGTACTTTTTTGCTAAATAAAAAATTCAAGTTAAATTCAAAAGTTTAGTTCGAAATTCTGTGTGAGAATCAAGCTGTCTGTTGTGCAGGAATGAATAAAAATTAGGTTTTTTTCGATGTACAAACTGAGTCAAGCAAAGCTTGAAAAGCATATATTGAACAGGAGTGGAGACGATCATTATGACTTCCATATATTAAAAGGCAGGGGTGCTGATCGGTCGTTTGAGCAGCATTAAAATACGTGTACGTAGCTTTATTGTCCTGTACACTATTCTTACCTGTGGTACTAGTGGTAAATATGTGTCGTGGTTGGATAAACCGCATCAAAACGTCCAGAAGCCATTTTCACTTGTTACGTCATGCTCTACCTTCTGAGTTGCAAAAAGCAAGGTCCAGGCAACTCATGCAGGTAAACCTTGTTTAGCCAAACGAATTACTCTTTAGAGCGCTTTATTTTTGTATGAACAAGGGGAGAATACTGTGAGCTCGTTGCGGATTGGATGAACTCAGTGCATAAAAACATTTGTCGAGAAGCCATTTTAATGTCACGTCATGTATTATTTCATTCATGCGAAAAACGCGCATCAAAAACACTAAACGTTTCCATTTTCCTTTTGCAAGCAGAGTATCCATCGCTAAGCTGTAATATTCATTTAACTTTTTTTATGGCCTGTAGTGATTTTAGACTTATCTGATGAAGATGGCGATCTCAAGAACCTCCCCGAATATTCTAATCACTACGCTGACAAGTTTCTCAAAGCAAGACAAAAGTTTGTTCTTATCAAGATAGAAAGTAAGTAAATGAGTGTGATTTTGGGTCACCTCGCCAGCTCTTTAGATACGAAATCTTCCTCTGACACCATTTTTTTGACATAAGACGGCATCACATTATGGCTTCTCTACGACTGCATTGACTTAAGGTGGCTGGACCCCCTCACGCTTGACCGTTACCTTCCACGGTTGGAACGCTGGTGCATAAACGTGTTTTATCCGATTGCAAATCTTTTTTGCACATAAGTCACATAAAGATTGAATTAATGTTTGAT